GTGATATGCCAACTAACTCACTCTGAGTGTAGTCTACTGCAGTCTCATTGCGGTATACCAACTAACCCCACTCAAACATTTAACAATCATGAAATGCAATAAACGTTACTCTCTAACATGACAATTTCAAAATATAGGTTACGCACCTCCAAACGCTCATGCATACTTAAATCCAATACGTATACACTCACAATCATGCACGTGTGTTGATGCGCATCTCGTACTTCATGTCTGTAATTTAAAAGCTCGTGAGAACAACTACATTTACAAGATAGCACTAGACCAGTCGATCGATCCATCTCATCAGTCGACCGGCAATGAAGTGTACCAAACATGCACAGAAAAACAGCCTTAATTGTTTAAAAGTAATTCCAGTGGTGAACAATGATTCTGGCATTGAAATAATATTTCCGACGTTAAAGAGTAACATCGGTGGTGAATAGTACTTCCGACGATAAACAAAGACACCGGTGATGAATAGTAATACCGACGGTGAACAGTAACACCGACGGGTGAATAGTGATAAATACTTATAGTTCTAGCTATAAAGATCATGTTTTTTCTCTATTTAGGGATTTGATCTAATATTCCATTCATCAATTTTTATCAAGATCATATATTTTCTTCATTTAGGGATTTGATCTAAAGTTTTATTCCTTAATTTTTATTAAAATAAAAACTAAATGGGAATGAGTTTGGAAAGAGGTGAACTTGTCTTTATTAAACTCTAAAATTGGAATCCCTATCCGTTCCTTTTCTCCGAATAGCCAAAATCAAAATCCCCCTCTCTCTCCTTTCTCCCCCCCCCCCCCGCCCCCCATCCTCTGTGTGTCTTTCGCGTGAGCAAAGAGACGGGGCCTTTTCCATAGGGGAGGAGATGGGGGGGCGTAGTAAGTGCGCGAAAATTAGAAGAGGGTTTAGGTAGGGTAGTCGTAGGTGTGTGTATATATTTATATATAAAATATTTTAAATTATTTAAAAATAGGGTTTCAGTCTCCGTTTTCAAAAAGTAACGAAACTTTATCCACATTACTATCTTGAAATTCTAAGATTAATGGCACAAACCTCACATCCATTTGATCAACAGAAGAATTATTAAAAATATAAATACGACATATGTCAGTAGACTCGCGATACCGAGGCTAAATTTGCGAATCGATCTCAAATCGATTCAAATCTGTTCCATTCATCTCAGAATGATCACCAACCATAATAAAACTTATTTATTAATATTTATAATAATATTTTCAAAATTTTTGGGGTTTTACATGAACTTTGGTATTATGTTAGGTGTTAGCATTAGAAATTAAGACCTTATATTATGATTTTGTAGTAAGATATATTATTTATCCTAATATTTTTTATGTGAGTTCCTAAACATGTCCTTTCGTACTTGATTATCTAGAAAAATTATGTGTATGGTGTGCGCCTCGAATCACTCGGGTGCGTGCATCGCTTTGCGCATATGCTCGTATAGATACTTGGTGCCCCGCATTGCGCCTCGCCACATTGTCAACACTATATTATATACATAATAGGTATCTTATATATATTATATATATATATATATATATAATATATATATATATATTTATTATATATATATATTATATATTATATATATATATTATTATATATATATATATATATATATATATATATATATATATTATATTTATATATTATATATATATATATATACTATATATATTATATATATATATATATTATATTTATATATATATATATATATATTATATTATACATATGCTATATATATATCAGATATCATATTAATATGTATATATATATATTATATATGTATATAATAATATATATATATATATATATATTATTATATATACATATGTATATAACATATATAATATATTGTATATAATAATATATCATATGTATATATATATAGATTACATATATATATATATGTATATATATCATATAATATATATATATATTATATATATATATATATAATATATATATATATTTTATATATATAATATCATATATATATATATATGGAGAAAATGGTATACTTGGTACCAAGGCACAAAAGTTATGCCTTGGTAGTGAGGGTGGCTATCCCCGTCCACCTATTAAATGGTTGCATATCCTCATGCACTCCTCAACCCATGTGAATGTGATCCCCCATTTGAATGAGTAGAGGGGATTGTGCCACCTCACTACCAAGCACAAAATTTGTGCTTGGTACAAGCATACCCATATTCCTCTATATATATATATATATGAGAAAACTGTAGGTAAGCTGCCAGCGTATTCTTCGGTGCGCTGCAGGGGTGTTTTTGAAAAAAAAACACCCGATTCTCAATAAAAAAGAGCTCTCTCTCTCTCTCTTTCTCTCTCCCCAAAACTCTCAGATCCAAAGAAATCCCTCTTCCTCCCTCTCTCGATCTCTCTCAGATCTCTCTCACGCCGCCCCCTTGACTCTCCCCCACAGCGACACCTCCGCGAGATCTACCCTCCAAGACCCTCCCTCCTCCGCGAGATTCGACGGTGCAGCTGCAGGTAATATCTCGGTCCCTCTCCCATAAAGTTTCCTCTCCCCCTATCTCCCTCCAAGACCCTCCCTACTCCTCCTCCACGATCTCCATCCCCACTCGTTTAAGGTCTTCAAATATCTGGCTTTCCAATTTGTTGCTAGGGCGCTTATGGGAAAAGGAATGATTTGGTTTTCGATGGGGGGAAAACTACTCAATTTCAGAACTTGCTACTAATACTTTGTATTAATTAACTTCTTACATCTTTGGCAATATTTATTTTTGAAGAGAAGGCAATTAGCTTGAGGAGAGTTATTGATAGGATGCATAATCTTACACCGTCTTCATTGAAAACAGAGGTGAGTTAAGGCCAAAAAAATGTCATCGAAGAAGCACATGACTTCTATTATAATGCTTCTTTGAGTTTCAGGGCATAATACTTTGGAGTTTTCAGGGTGTTGATGTTTTCAAGCTTTTTTCTATTTTTGTTTTTTTAATCTTGTTTCGAGGCATGGGGAGAACTCTGAGTTCTAGTTTATATTCTTGGATATTAAAGGTAGTATATCATATTGATTATACATGTATTTATGATTCATTTAGATGTCATCGAAGAAGAACATGACTTCTATTATAATGGTTCTTTGAGTTTCAGGGCATGGGAAGTACTGCTCGTTTTCATAATGGTGTGATTGTGGTTGCGAGTATTGTGGTAATTGGTAGTGGTGTGGTTGTGGTTTAGGACCAAATAATTTGATAATTGATTGAGAGATCACTTACTAACCAAGCAATTTCTTTGGCAACTGGATTCTCAAGCCTGCAAAGGGATTCCATTGATGTTGTATGTTGTCCAAACAATTAGATTATATTCTCATGTTGAGTATGTCTAAATGTGAGACTTTTAATACCCTCTGCAGGTTTTTTTGCAGATGTGGATATTGGGTCTGAGAAATATTGGTGGATGGGAAGTACTGCTCGTTTTCAATTCTATGTATGTATGCTTTTACTTTGATGAGGATTGTTTCTAGATAATTCAAAGATAATTGCAAGTGAATAAGAAAGTAGCCTATTCCAAGATTATTCCAACGGTTAGCATCATACATAAATGTAAAAATATTGTATTCTGCAAATTAATGACAAATTGGAAATTACTGAAATATATGCAAACATTGTTTTCATTGTTATTATTTTAGTAATTGTCGGCCCTTTTACGCATAATGAACTTGAGAAGATATCATGGATGTGTTCAGTTTGTTCCTGCTCCTGGCTATGAAGAATTTGGTGAACCTTTATAGCCCAATTTTAACTCCAAAGCATTTACTAGTGTACAAGAACAAGGTCAAGAAAATGGTTGGCTTGGGAATGTTCATTGGTATATTTAATACAATCAGTTTTCCCTTTAATTTTGTTGCTCTGAAGGAAGTTGAAATGTTGGATTGGGAATGTTCATTTGGAAGAAACTGGCGTATGCTAAAACAGAGTTCATCGTCTCTCACTAGATTATTCTGCTGCTGGTTATCCATATTGTCATATTGAATTGAGCATTGCTCAAAGTTTTGTGTGACATTGTTGCGCATCACTTGTGAACATTTACTCTTTGTGAGGGAAAATCAATTTTTCAATACTTAACATGAATATCGCCAATTAATTGTAATTGTTTGATGGATTTGTTTTGTAGATAACGTCGATGATATCAGCTGGATTTTTATCGAAGGAACTAGCAGATGAATTCAATTTATGTAAACAATTGTAAATAATTTATGTATTGCTCTAGTATTTTGGTGAATGTATTATTTGAGTATAATTGGATTTGATATTAAAATATAACTGGTGGTTTTCATTTGTTGAGGTGAGGTTACTGAGTATTGGTGTAATGTATCTGACTAACTTTTCTTGTTTCTTTTTTTACTTATGTTATGACTGATAGGCGCAAGCCGAACACTGGATCATATTTGCACAATCTACTATAGGATGATTATCATAACATTGATTCATTGGTTTGAGCCTCTCATCATATATGCCTCTGTCCAGATTTTACTTTGATGATGCTTCATCAATTCCATCTTAAATAAGTTCTGTATTTTTTGAAAACTATATGGACAATATGAGGAACATGCGTGAACTAGCTTCTGATTCAAGTATGAATAGCTTCTGATTCTTGTGACAAATATCATAGCTCGCCTAGCATGTTAATTGTGTTTTTCCCCGGAACCTGCTAGAAACCAAGTTCATACAACATGCAGAAATATTATGCCTTGCATGTTTCCCAAATATTGGCGGAAATATTATCTCCATCCTTGTGATAGATATTCACTCAGGCAAAACCTCTTCGTTCAGACAACAAATACTAGTGGTAATATTGGCGAAAAAATAATCCACTCAGGCACAAGCCTATTCATTCAGACAACTAGCATTTCAGAAACCATTGCATCACATAACGCAACCATTACTTACAAACCTAGTTGAAAAGAACCCAAAATATACAATGCAAAAGCTAATAACCATTATACAACGATGTACATATTTTTCTTCTTTCTGTATCGACATGCATTCTACTTTCTTTAGTGAAAATTTTCTTCAAAACTCTCTTGAGCGCATAAATGATACGTAAGTTACAAGGTTGGAAAGATCTTGACAAAATGAATCTTGCACAATGTCACTTCTTCAGGTTGTTGTTCGACAAGATGACTTTCTTTCCTTAGTTGCTGCCAGACTCTATATATTTGAGTCTGAAAGTAAGGCCACCTACCTTTATTGCAATATCAAAGACAAACTTTGTTTCCTTTGTTGCAGCTACCAGCGATATCATAAACCACAGCCAACAAAAAAAGCCGAGAATTGCTCCTTGTATAATATCAACAATCATAATAAGCTGGCTGAACATAGGATTGATATTGTACGACAAATCAAAGCCACAAAGCAAAGCTGCTCCCTTGGTCAGCATAACGTGATTGATCAACACAATTATGATTCTGCAGCATGATTAGCTTCTGTGAAAACAAACAATAAGCACAGTTACAAATTTTTTGTACTCAACAAGATGCTAACCATTGAACGGAGTAATAAATTCCTATCAAAGACAATATTTAGCAGTTGAATGTTAAGAGGAACTTACTGAAAACTTATCAGTGGGTTCCTCCTTATTCCATTTCCAAAATAAAAATAATATTTTCCACCAATAGGTGTAGTCAATTATTTGTTGGTGTGAATTTAAAGATATATGTCTAGAAAATTTCCAAGAACATAGCAAATTTTAATAGTATATTTTACCACAGAACATATTTAGCTTAGTTAAACTGCCGTGTGTAAACTTCATATATTGGGTAATTGGATTTTTGTATTCAACCTTAAAACTTCAACTACTAATGAAGGACGAACATTATGCTCATGATTCACAATTCATGATGAAACTACTAAGCGATCTCATCTTCCTGACATTTTACGGTAATTTACTGCTTATCCAATACTCACAATCCAAAATTAACCAGATTATCAGATAAAGAAAAAAAACAAGACAGTAATTAGTATGTATGTTACCTGTTAGGACTTATGGTTTTTCTGAAGTTCTCAAAGTGCCTGTGTCCATGCACGGCCTTTGCCATATTTCCATCATATGTATAAATAAAAACATCACTCTGAAGAGCAACAACATAATCCAATCCAGCAAGCATGTTCTGATGATTTTTGAAAGGACCAAGTTCTTCTGTAGACAAAGTTGAATGCGAGTAGATATTGGGGAAGTCATCAGTCAGATATCGCATACTTCCATTTCCAAAGGCTTCACCAGCCACCACGCACGAGAGGGATCCAGAGAGAGAGAGAGCTCGAGAGAAAGACAGAGGAGGAGGTCGACGGAGAGATCACGGAGGAGGGCTGAAGGCGGAGGAGATCGACGGCGAGATCGCGGAGGAGAGAGGGCTCGATCTTGTGGGAGGGAGAGAGAGTAAGCGGGGACGCCTTTGCGATTTGTGAGCTCGAGATCGAGATCGAGAGAGGGAGAGGGTACGCGGTGGCGTTGCAAATGGGCGAGCTCCGCTGGCGGATCAAGAGAGAGTGAGAGAGATAAGGGGATCTCATGGTGGTCGACGGAGGGCGCACGATCGAGTTGGGGCTGAAATCGTGGGAAGGGGGGAGAGGGATTGAGGAATTTGGGGGAATTTTGGGGAGAGAGAATTTTGGGGTCACGGGGATGTGAAGGGGGTGGAATCGTGGGGCTGAAATCGTGAGATTTTTTCAAATAAGCCCCCGCAGCTCACGAATCACGTGCGCTGGCAGCGCACCTCCAGTTTTCTCTCTCTCTATATATATATATATGTGTATATGTGTGTCTGTAGACTAATCTAGTGTTCAAATCTAACTTGGAGGGGGTTGAGGTAAATTTTCAACCCCGCCCCCCTTTTTTTAAATCTTTCCTCTCACTCCCCTCATTCACTGCTCAATCTCTCTCCTCTCTCTGCACCTCTCATGCACTGTGCTCCTCCCCTTTGAAATTAGCCACCGCCTTCATTGCCGCCACCGGTGACGGTGGGGTTAGAAGGGAGGGGCGACAGCGACGGGGTTATGAAGGAGGGGCGGCAGGCAGTAGCGGCCGGTAGAGAGAATGGATTGCGTGGCTGTGGGGTTTGGAAGGTGAGGACGTGCGGGGAGATTGAGATGGGGAGGGAGAGAGAGATGTGAGAGAGAGTTTTTTTAGAAAGTAGGGTTTTTTTTGCAAATTTACCTCAACCCTTTCCAAGTTAGATGTGTGGACCTGATTAGTCCACATCACTACCGAGACCCATTGAGAAACTTTTTACCAAGTTTTTCCATTTTTCTTATATACCTATATTTATGTATATATATGTGTATATGTGTGTCTGTGTGTGTGTGCGCGTGCGCATGCAAATATAGCTATATGTATGCATGTATGTGTGTGTATATTTATGGGAAAAGCATTCATAAAATGGCACCTTATATATGTAAATGTGAGTGTGTAGATATATAGGTATCTTATGTAGTGAGTGTTATATATATAGGTATCTTATACAGTAGTGTTATATGTACATCTATACCTATATATTTAGGAATTAAGTACCAAGCACAAGTTTTTGTGCTTGGTTGTGAGGTGGTTCATGTCCATCTACTTATTCAAATGGGTGACCGCATTCATATGTATTGGAGAGTATATGAGAATGAGATACCTCACTAACAACACAAAGTTTTGTACTTGATACAAGTTCCATATAGTATATATATATATATATATATATATATATATATATGGAAAAGTGTCGATTCATAAGAATTACACTATACCAATTATGATCCGCTGTATTCATCATCTAAGTGTCCTCAAACATCTAATAAAATAAAATTATAAATGATTAAATACTTCTAACACATATTTTTTTATTTTCTCCTTACTTATATGTTGTAAAACCAATTAATTTTTACATCACATGTACTTGAGTACACTAACAACCCAATTTGCACCTAATTTTTCTTTTGTATACCAATGCCAAACATATAAATCAGAAATGAAAGGAGTGATCGAGTAATTTTAAATAGCATATAAATGTAGTTTTTGAAGAGCGTTGCTTTAGGTTGAGTGTAAGGTAACATCTACACACAACACAGTGCGCGTATCCAGCGCGCTAGCGGGCGTGAGCGAGCGCACACACGATGATACACACACACACACACACAAGCACACAACACACCACACACACACATATAATAATATATATATATATATAATAATATATAATATATATATATATATAATAATATAATATATATGAGATTAATGGTATCCAGTTGTCATAGAAGGGGATTTTCCTCGCTTGATGCCATCTAAAATGCACATGATTGAGCCGATATTGTGGACTGATCCGCTCCGTTGAAACTGATCTACATATTCTAAAAACCCAACACACCCAAGTTTGGGGTGAACCCAGTCATCGTTTTGACGTCGTTCAATACGCACGTGTAAATCATTTTAACGTTTGCGAATGAATAGAACTTCACAATGGCTCGATGGAGGGTCAAACGATGACCGGATTCAGCGCCCAAAGCTTGGTGTTGGGGTTTTAGAAATATGTAGAATCAAGTGTCAACGGAGCGGATCATCCAGCAATGTCGCTCAACATTTGATTTAGGAGGCGTCATAGGAGGAAATCCCATCCTATGACAAATGATAACGCCATTAATCTCTCTCCTCTCATCTACTCTCTCTTATATATATATATATATATATATATATATATAATGAGAATAATAGTATCCTTGTCATAGGAGGGGATTTCCTCCTTGAAAATGATGTGGCATATTCCCCACCATGTGATATTCTTCCTCTCACATTTTATCACATTGGTGGGGATTGTGCCACATCATTTTCAAGAGAAATCCCGCTCCTGACATAGAACACCCATTCTCATATATAATATACATAAATATATATTGGGAAAAGAAAGTTGTGATGAATATTGAAATTTTTTTTATTTAGAAATTTTGTACACAATAAACTATTATATTAATAGTTAATTAATACTTAATGATACTAAGAAAAGTCTCGAAATTGTTATTCCTTAAATTGAAATTTAGTATTAGTAATTAAATTGTGATAAATGATAAATATGAAATCCTATAGAATTTTATTCAATTTTTTTCATTTTGTTCATTGATAAAATAAATCTCTTTGACGATTTGTTTTTCATTTATCTGATTTCGCGGATTCAAAATATAAAATATATAAATAAATATATATATAAAAAAAAAGTAAAGGGGGCAGTTCTTAGTTTCTATTTCGACTGAAAAAACTTTTATTTCAAATTCCAAATGTTCTGGGGGAACCTAGCATATAGATAGTACCTAAAGGTTGATTGTTAAAACTGAACCTACGATGATACTAACCTAATTAAGAATTATTGAAAATTTCACGCAATTCGCTTCTGATCTTGATAAAGCTACTCAGAATCAATTGGCAAGAGGTCAACAATTACGCGAGTTGCTTAAACAATCTCAAGCAGACCCTCTTACGGTAGAAGAGCAGATAGCTACTATTTATACTGGAGCGAATGGATATCTTGATCAGTTAGAAATCGGACAGGTAAAGAAATTTCTCATTCAGTTACGTACCTACTTAAAAAAGAATAAACCTCAATTCCAAGAAATTATATCTTCTACCAAGACATTCACCGAGCAAGCGGAAACCCTTTTGAAAGAAGCTATTCAGGAAGAGATCGAACTGTTTCTACTTGAGGCATAAATTTATCATTAGAATTCTCTTCTTTTCTTAATACAAGAGTCATTATTGCGAACTATTTCTTTCTGATTCAAAATTCAAAAAAGGATTTCTTGATATCGCCATTTTCAAAAATAGATTGAAAAAAATTGCGTCCAATAGGATTTGAACCTATACCAAAGGTTTAGAAGACCTCTGTCCTATCCATTAGACAATGGACGCTTTTCATTCCTATTTTCTTGTTTCGCATTCTCCCTTTCTCTTTTTGGAAAAAAGGAGATTACATGGAAAATCTTTTAGGGAATAAAAAAAAGAATACATATCCGAATGGAGGATACATGTAGAATAAGTAATATGGAGCGGGTAGCGGGAATCGAATCCGCATTGTTAGCTTGGAAGGCGAGGGGTTATAGTCGACGTTGATTGATTATTTTTAACGTCTCTAATTCAAAACCAAACATGAAATTTTGATAGGGGTTATAGTCGACGTTGATTGATTATTTTTAACGTCTCTAATTCAAAACCAAACATGAAATTTTGATTTCATTCGGCTCCTTTATGGAGGATCGATGTATTAAAAATTAGATCCATAACATCTATGTCAGCTTTTCTTTTTGAATGCATCCAAAGCTACTCGTTTTTTAGATGATCCCTCTAGAGAAGGGGATTCTACCAAATCTGTCTAATCTAGTTACTTCGTTCCCTATTTTTTTAGATGATCCCTCTAGAGAAGGGGATTCTACCAAATCTGTCTAATCTAGTTACTTCGTTCCCTATTTCCACCCAAAATATCCCGAGGAAAAGAATTTGGTTTCCACTGAGCTAAAACAATATGGCGATGGTTGTAGTAAACTAAAACTATCGTTTTCTAGCTATTTGGCTTCAATCTTCCCTTTCCAACACAAAAATTGAAGATCTAGTTACGATTGGAAATAAACTTTTGTATCTTCATCCATAGATCCTTTACTCATACTCATTCAATTGGAAGATTTGATCCAATTCAAATCAAAAAATTATGCTTCGCGACTCCATAATTCCATTTTTTAGTCAATTTGAAATTGACCCTTGGATACAAATCGTGAAAATGTATATTCTTCCTCAAATATACTATTAAGGGAAAAAGGATTAAACCTTTTTAAGAAATAAAGTTTTTTTGATCGTAATATGAAAAAACCGAAAGACCCCTTAACTATTTAAGTTATTAATTGAACGAATCGCACTTTTACCACTAAACTATACCCGCTACATATCTCCATTATTATATATGAATGGATCTTTTGTCGAACAAAAGAATGAGATAAAATTAAGATAGCATCTTTCATTTTCAACTTCTCTTCCAACCGCCCGATCCTATGAATTTGAATTCAGATCAACTGTATCTCAAATAAAGCTTGTCCCTTGAACAAGTAAATGAGTTATGTTATATATGTTATAACATATGTGTGTTTCATTTTTGATATAATTTTTTCATTTTTGATATAATTTAATATTAATATACGTATGTGTTCTTTTGCAGTTAAGTAATTAAGGAAATAAAACAAAAAAATACTTAATTAATAAGAATTGAAAAAATATGCATATTCTATATTTCTCTAGTATTAATAATAAGAAACGTCACTTCTATCATAGGAATAGGGATGGGCATTTTCTTTGTTGTTGTTTCAATAACAATTGAATTATTTTTGATTTGATATCAAATAAAAAATAATTATAAATTGTTTGATCTATGAAATGATTCATCAGAACAAAATAAGTAATGGCCCGACCAGTACTTAACCAGGCCGGGAGAATGAACCTTAACCTTATCTTACAAAATCAAAGAAGTGAAGTAAGATCTTTTTTCTATATCTATCTATTCTATTGGAGATAAGATCTCCGTTTCGAATCATTAAATCATTATCTAAATTGAATTACTGATCAAATTCGTAGATATCTTATCTATTTT